GTACGTTCGGTATGGTTCATCGGTTGATCGAAAACACCGCGTAAGGAGTGGGAAAGGCCAGCTCTTGTTGCTTCTGCATAAACAGTGATCAGTTATTTACGAATGGAGGTAAGGGAGTGGTCACGTACCGCTGGCGATGAATCTTCTGTCCTCTGGAACAAAATCCATAAGGCCAAAGGAGAAGAGTGCATGCGCTGCATCTTCCGTTAAGGCTCTCTCCAGAGACCCGGGCGAGGACTGCCAAAATCTCCCCCACTTGATGAAAGCAGCCCAATTGATATGGCACACCTCAGGTCGATGGACAAGGCGCCACGGAATCTCTTCCTGAGGTCTGGAGGGCTCGTGCTCGATTGATGTCTCCTCGACGGACCCGTATTCGGCGATTGGATTACCACTTGTTTTCTTGTAAGGCAGGGCATAGTCAGCCCAAAGCTGTGAACCGCCGCACAGCTTGGACGACTAGAGTAATCCGTCAGCACCCAGTAACAAGCTAACGAATCAAGGAAACAGCGCACCTCTTCAGTCAGTCCTGGCTTTCTGTCCAGCATATTGTGAAACTCTTTGACGAAGTCAGCGTCCGATGCTCCACTTCTGATATCATTCAGATCGAGGTCGGTTTCGTCGAAGCTTCCGAATGCCGTTACTTCGATGAAAACATCCCGGTACTGATTGATGAAAGCTACCGTGAAATCTTCCAGCGACATAACCGTTAGACATGTGGAGGGAAGGTGCAGATAATATTCACCCGCCACGGAAGAAGCGATGCCTACGTTCGTATAGCGTGAGCGGCCCAGCGTCAGCCATGCGTGAGGGGGTGATACGACGTACCTGGGTAGGCGGCTGGGACTCGTATTACAACGGCAACCAGATTCTTCGGGGTTGTCACTCCGTTCAACAATTTCTGAGGGCTCAACTTGAGTCCCGTCTTGTTTAGAAAGGGTTCATCGACGTTCTTGCACAGTTCTTTGTATTGCTCCTTAGTCCGAGCATCAGGCTCAAGTGGTTTCGCAAGCTGTGACGAAAAGGTTACAGGGGTTGTGTGGGAGATATCACCGCAAGCCGCCGTCTCGCTTGGCGTACCAGATATATGTCGGCCTTCATCGTGCCGCCCAGATCAACGTCGCGCGGGTCTACTTCTGCGCGCGCTGTGTTGAGAGCGGCCTCCATCAGGTTAGATATATCAGCATATTTGGAAGGCAGATCAACGTAGCAAGCGTGTGCCAGGTACCGATATTTGCTAGCAGGGGCGGAGGTCGCAGAGTCGTTAGGATGAGAAGCGAGCAGGACACGAAACTCGAATTCGCGAAATTGTTCCGCCATGTTCAAAGCAAGTTCATGAGCAAGGTTCACGAATTGTAGTCTCCCGTAGGCAGACCCTAAACACGACCTTGTTGAGTGGGGGAGGGCGCTCGTATACACGAATTGAGGCGGGTTGCGAGAACGGAGTGTGCATCGGGCATCGGTCGGGCGTTTCCTTTTCCGCTCGAAATGCGCGTCGTCCGCCGTCCAGCCAATCAGATCTCATACCTCTGAGTCTGCCGTGCAAAAGCTCTCGCAAAGTGGATGCAGCCCAACGATGGTGATGGAAAGTGCGAATGAAAGGCCGGGAAAAGCAATACATGCCTGGATTGCAGGCAAAACGACACCAGCAGGACTTGAACCTGCGCTCCCAACGGGAAACAGATAGCGATGGTTCAAGTCCTGCAAGAACCTGATTCGAATCTGTCGCCTTAACCACTCGGCCATAGTGCCATAGAAGGGCTCGTTATTACATCTTATCATACGCACAGTCGTCACTACGCCTATGTACTTGGAAGCCTCAGTTTGATTCACGGAGCATATCTTCCTGTCAGCAAAGACCACCAAAACCTCATAATACTCATACGTATGAGATGTACAAGCAGCAATAAATAGATCTGGGGCAGTCAATAGTCCTCCCACGCGACTTCTGCCCATTCTTCGTTCTCGCCCGACGAGGTAATGGAGAAGCCAATCTTCCTGTATAGACGAACGGCACTGGGGTTGCTAGGCTCAAAGAACAAGCAAACACTCTGTACGTCGTGATTTCAAAGGCCCTGCGACAACCCATTTTGTCAGCCCTCTGATTGAAATATTGAGCGACATGCAAGGACGTGTACCTTTCTAGCGCGTACCGTACGAGGGCCTCCGCGATGCCCTGCCCACGAACCTCCGGGTCCGTATAGGCTTTCGAAACAGCTCTGACCCCAGGCGTTTCTCGCGTGATCGATACGAGCGAACGGAGGGCACCGTCCACTCGCGCACCGTATAGACACCTGCCGTCGATCAGCTTCTTCGCATGCGCACGGGCCGCCGCAGCGTCGAGTGGTGGAGGCACCGGTTCGTCCATGGGATGTGTGGCGCACTCACACATGGCCGCTGCGACGTCTAGATCTGCGGGGGAGCAGATGTCGAACTTGACGTTGGGGGCAAGAGATCGTATGGGTCGGCGTAGAGTCGATCGCGTAACGTGGGCGAGCGCGAAGTCCATGACAAGCTTGGGCCGAAGGCCGTACACGGAGCCCCAGACACTCGCGAAGGGTTCGCAGAGGGCCTTGGGACCGATGACACCGAAGATGCGTGTGCCAGGTACGTTCGCGTCCTCAGCGGCTTGGACGAGCTGACGCATGGCAGCATCGATATGCGATGTCGGGAGGGTCCTGGGGTCGACGGACGAAGCGAGCCTGCCAGCATGCTTCCCGACGATGATGAGCGCGAAGGTAGTTCCACATCAGAAGGATCATCATCTCCAGCAGAACGTGCAGAGAACCAGAGATCTTCTGTGACTGCAGAAACATCCAGTTCAGCAGGACGTTCCGCAAGGGCATATGTTGTTGTAAGGGCGAAGTTGGCAGAGATGCTGCGCGTTGCAATTAGTGCAGGCGCGCATGCAACCAGGAAGTCGGAGGCACTTCGTAAAGCCTGAACAGTGAAGTTGACACCCATGGTGAGATTTGAGTGAACACTGCGTTAACGCGGCGTCCTGTGAGTACTACTGACTCTATGCGAAATTCGAATGAAGCACCCACATCGCCTGATCCGATCGGTCCTCAAGTGATGGACTACTAGAGCTGGAGTCATCTGTCTGAGTGCAGCCCATGTCTGAGATGGCGCAATCGGACGGCAAGTGACCGTTACATAAGCAAGGAGCCTGTAAGTTATGTATATGAGCGTGCACAACTGACCTATGGTCTCCTATAGTCCACCTTTAATGAGGTCGCCAGTCGATAATCACGTCTCAATGGCCGGCGATGTCCCTAGAATAATCAGGACCATCGAGACTTCGGGCGAAGCATAATACAGCCCGCAAGTGGATCAACTGTTGCAACGGGACTCGTATGGTCGCAGTCGCTGTAGGACTCGACGTGTCATTCAGAGCTTCATGACATGATAGAGAATACAACGTACAACATGATAATTGTGTTTGCGCCACGGCAGCGCAACTTGCATACAAGTTACCTGATATCTCCAGTTCACCTTTCCGCGCGCTCTAAATGTTCTGGATCAAGATGAGTTGGAGCAGAGTAAGTTGTAGACTGCTGGGAAGAATAGGTGCGTATGTTTGTGGCGGATACACGCTTTCACCACAAATAGTAACTGCACGGTTCACTGGGTAAGAACGACCCCATAGGTGCACAACAGGCGATTCATTCTGGCCATTGGCGGCCGTTAGCATCGCAATCGACACACGCCACCATCCCAAAAGCAGAAGCTCTTCGTCGTGAATGGGTATTAGCGATTCGCTCGTACCAGATTGTTCACACCTTGAGAAATAACGTCGTTGCGATATTTGTTACAGTAGGTGCCATATGTTCCCGTGGCATTCGACGTTTGGGACGAAAATATGATACAACAATGAATGGAGCACAGCAGGCAGCAAGAGGTGTCCAGACAGCGTCCGAGATCCGCGGCAGTTCATCCGGAGAGACCAGTCAGAGCGGCGAGCGCAAGCTTGATCCGGGTCACGAACTCGTTGAGGCGTTGACGAGTTTTCTCTTCGATGAAGTAGGAGTGTGAGCATATAGTCACCGCCCAGAAGGATAGAAGGGCGGAGTGCGGTAGGAAACCCCAGCCTACCGATGAGAGACGACATGCCTTGTTCTTTCTCAAACTCGATGACCACCTTCACTTCCTTCTCCAGGGCGTCGGCATTGGTATCGCTTTCGTGAGCAGGACGCGCCGTCGACCACGCGTGAAAGTCGAGCATTAGCTCGAGTAGCATGGCATTTAGTTCTGGAGCATAGACGTCGACGAGGACCAGTAGTCAATACAACGTCCGAAGCCTCGCACCAATATTGAATTTCTCGAGGAACGCGCATATACGCACTTTCGAGGAACTCCACGTCTCTTTTGGACTCATTATCAAACGGTTCTACGATGGTCGAGCGATGGTCGAAGGGCGGATATGTTTGTGATATCACATCTGCGATGGCGCGCCGCTTCGAGCTTTGAGAGCTGCTGATCTTCTCTTGAGCCAAAGGTCCTGGCCCTGGTGAGGAAGACATATATGACACTGCAGCCAGCCAGATTTTGAGGTGAAAGAGGACTGGAGGACTGGAAGAGATGGTGCCTTCCGAGTCGCCTCACCATTGATCGCCCACGTGACCGTGTGCCTCGTGTGTCGACGTCGCGACGCGTCCCTCGCCGTCGAGTCTCCGCCTGTCTCCGAGGGAGAGCTACCAAGCACTGACTTCGTTTAGACATAAGTACGTACAGTGTCTACGCTTTGATGGCAGAGACTTCAATCGGATTGGTTCCACGTACGACGCTGCGCTGTGCCACTGTATGAAGTCAACTCCCAATCCGATTGCTACTAGACCGTGTTGATGGCTGAGTGAACCCGGACAGTGCGTCTTGACGTTAACGGGACAAATGGTACCATACATTCTGGTTGTTCCGAAAGGTCAAGACCAGCGCGAACATCCAGCATGTGCTATATCTCAGTGATTGCATACATTTCATTGTTAACCCGCGTTACGAATACTACTACAGACAGGCGTTGGCGGCATTGACAGGACACAGGACTTTACTAGATCGTGAAAGAAGATTATTACCTACATTCATGAACGTACAGCAACGTAAGGATCGTGTCGACTGATACAACTAAAAGGACGGTAAAGCTACATTCTGATAAGTCGTTCCGTCGTTTACCAGAACAGAGAGAATGTCCGACTCGAAGTCGCACCAGTGTACACGCAGGCCCCCACGAAGACGACGCACAGACAGCTCGGGAGCTCAAGCCAAATCCAACTCAGGCATTGAGATTGAACGGCTGGCCCAAGACTCGGACAGACTTGGGCGCGAGGTCCTTCATGATGCGAGCCTTGGTCTCCGCGGTGATCTTCGCGGGGCTCTTCTTCGGCGACGCCGATCCGTACCGCCGACGCGGCCTCCTTGGTTCCATGGTCGTCGACGTCGACGCCTCCTGGGTACGCACGGTACCCCGTCGGCCGGGGATCGTCTTCCACTCGCGATTGACCCGCGGCGGCGAGGAGGCCGGCGGCGCCGGGATGCTCGACGTCGAGGCGACCCGCTTCCACGGCCGGGTGAACGTCGAGTCACACGCCTTCGCCCTTGCCTGGATCCGCGCCGCGACGATGTTCCCGATCTTGGACATGCGCGATGGGCGTGTCGCCTTCCGCGGTGGCGAGGGGGACGACTGCTCCTGCGCGAGGTTCTCGTACAGCAGGAAGGGGGCGACAGCGTTCGTGCGGGCGAACGGAGGGCTGGGCGGCTTGGTGCCGAACCGCGAAGGAGAATGCTGGGGAGTGGCATACTCGAAGGCTGGTTCTCCGTCTGCGAGCCACACAGACATCTCGCTTTCGCTTTCGTCCATGCTGTCGGTGCTCAGGATCGGTGCGCCACTGCGCTGTTGCGACGAGTCACCGAGGCTGTCTGTGCGAGCCAGGAGTGGCTCGCCCGATTCTCGACGAGGGAGGCGTGGCCTTTTGACTCGGCGGGGAGGCGTGCACGGCAGATGGTGCGACATTTTGGATCTGAGGGAACGTTCAGGGCTTGCACGCCACATAGACAATCGAAGGGTTTGGACATACAATGTTTTTTTTTCGGTTTTGCGGCAGACGACGGATGGTCGTATAAAGGAAGGAAAGAGCGGGGAAAGATGCGTATCCGATCTCTGCCCAAAGCTATCGAGCGGCGAGGCCCTTATATGCAGTTGCAAGACTGCCTGGTTTGTCGGACAATGTGGCCGGACAAAGCAGATTGCATTGTGACGGAAGAAGATCAAAGCACAATCTGCCACACGGGTGGCCAAGTCAGATCTCCCGAGAGGGATGGTCACATCTAAGCGAAGATAGGAGTGGACAACTTACATCGTTGGCCAAATCGAACTGAGCCATCTCGCCGGCGCGCTGGCGGGTGGATCCTAGATGTGGTGGCTCCAGGTGGCTCCGCCGTAGTCAGCGCTTCAAGACTGAGGATCCGGTGGCCGTCGTCCGTCGAACTGCACCTCATGTGGCTCAAAACGCAAGGCTGTTAGTGCAGTGACGACTGTGACATCCATGTGACCCCGATCCCTACACCGGGGTCCGATTGCAAGTGTCCTGTGCGTTAGTGTTTACATTGTCTCTGGTCCAGTCATGCGCACACACGAAGAGTGACTTGACAGAAGAAAAATGCGCATCGGTACATACCACCCAACGCAAACCCAGCCTGTCGACGCGAATTGTTGATACTGGATCAACCACCTCGCGGTGTACAAAGACGAGCAAAATCCAATAATTATCTACAATATGTGAACACTTCCTGATAGTGATGATACACGCTGGCTACATCCTGTGCCGCGTCCGGAGAGTGGCTTCGCAATATAAGACGACTCGCTCATGCAACAGCTGCGCCGCCGGACTTGCGCCTGAGCTGCACATCAGATTCGTGCCCCAGCTTCGCACCTTGAGATGGCAATGAGAAACTCACAACTGGTAACCGACAGCTACAAAGGGCAGCGCGAAGCCTGAGAGGCAGAAGACGGTGTACTTGACGGCAAATGCCCGCTTGTTATTGTAGGAGAAGGGCAAGTGCTGGAAGGCGGTCAGACAACGAACGGCTGATTGATAGGAATGCCTTACGTCGTAAGGGGCGTGGCCACCGTGGCCATGCGCGCCGTGCTCACTGCAGCTTCGCCATGCGCGAACCGCACTTGGCCCGCGGAGCGTCGAGACGTCCTGGCAAGAGGAGCGAGACGCATAGTTGAGGAGGACAGACGAGTGAACGACGACATTACGACAGCGCTATTTTCGACGGCTGCGAGTTGGCTGAGGACGATGTGGGGGAGGTTTGGGGGGTCGTGGTAATCCGCAGGTGGGTATTGGGCTCCTGTTGTTCCCGTTCGCGAAGGCAGGTGACGTTGGGCCGGTGCCTCTAGAAGACAGACTATATGTACCCAACCGGGGATCAGCCCACATAGACGTTATGCACCGCCTGGACGGCACCCAGAGCAGAGCCAGCTGACCCAGCCGGGACGCGGCCGAGGGCTCGGTGGGAACGCGGCCATTGGGGTGGATGCGTAGTAGAGCCTCAGGCCCGAACGAAGCTGATGCGTTGCGAGGATCGAGAAGGGCACGAGACCGTCTATGCAGGTGGCCAGTCAGTTCCAGAACGCTATGTGAGCGCTGTCTGCTCCTGTCTGTGTCAAGATGAGTCCGTCAGTGAAATAGAAGTTACGTGGTATGATGTACTCACGAACATACAATCATGTTCTTTGCCAGGCTCCTCCCCATCCGCCGCGGGGGTAGGGGGACTTATTCTGAGAACACGAACACAAGTTCATATCGCCCTCGACCACCCCGCCACACTTCAGCCACATCCCATCAAAATATTCTATCCCCGCCCGATCCTGAATCTCCGTAATCTTATTTCCCCCTACCCCCCTGCGGCGGCTGGCACAAAACATATACAAACAACGGAGCCCCCGCTGCATACCTCCCAATTTGGAGGGTGCGATCAATGCCTGAGATTATGTAATTAATCGCGCGCCTGCGCGATGTTCGTCGCGTACCGTACAGAGTACTCACACGACCGTCCGCGCATTCGTCCTCACGGCTCGAGCTATGATTACTCCTGCACAAATCAGCTTCATTCAGAATGCTCTCATCACTTGCCGCGTGTCTCTATCTGAGCTTATACTAGTGTCGCTTGCTGAGAAGAGCTTTGCGAGGTCCGTCTTCCTAGAAGACCTCGCTGCGAATCTGAACTCGATTCTCGCGGCCTTCGCACGTAACACGCGGACGTCTGCCACGACGCGAGGATGGGCCCACAATACAATGAAAAGACAGTACCACCGTTCAGTATGCGAGCTCGCGGATAAGGATAATGGCTGGCACCTCGGTGTAGTGCACATGAAGGCGCAGCAAGTCCTCGACTTCCGGATTGAAGACATGGCAGCACGGATGCGCGAACTAGCGCCAGAGTTGTGGGAGCTCGTCTCGTTTGTTCTCTCGGGGAACGAGCTCTGGGCCCAGCCGCAGGTAGAGAATGTGGCCCTGAGCCCCGAGGAGGTTGAGCTATGGGAGGAACTCGGGGATCCAGAGAGTAGCAGTGGGGCTGGCGAGCAACGCGCCAAGCTCCGGCAGGCATTGTGTCGTGTAGTAAGTCCCACTTAATAGTACTCGTCTTCGCTTGTATTCACAATGATGTATAGAAGACAGTTGTGATACTGTCTATATTCATGCATTCCGTGAATCAGCAATGTAACGCGCTCGCTGCTGTGAATGGTATCTTCTTTCACTCGTGCAATGCTCCCGACAAAGTTATCAAGGCCCTTGCACACATGGGCATTACGATCTCGCCGTCTTCCATTAACAACGCAGTTCGTTCTCTGTCGATCGAAAACGCGCATGATATCCGCACGCTCGGACAATCCCTGGAGGCGATGTTCGCATACGACAATCTCGAGTTGACATTGAATACCATGACACCGACAATCGAGCAGTCCGGCGACCGTTTGGTCCACCTTACCTCGGGTCTCATCATGAAGCTGGAGCATGGTGTCACAGCCGAGGACCTACGCTGTTCCCGACTGCTCTGGCAGACTTCGCGCATGAATCCTGCAGTGCTATACAGCCCGACGCCGCCGCCGCTATATACATACGAGCATCTGCTCATGTTGCATCGCGAGCCCGTACTACATCCATCGGGGCTCAATCGACACGGACAGTTTACGGCCTGGCTCTTCCTCGATGCGTTGTGCAGACACGGCCCTGTTTATTTTCGGCAATTCCTCTCTGAGCTCGCAGAACCTGAAATGGTCGAGCAGATCCCTGTCACAAAACTCAAGTATCATCCCGTGCGCGCAATGAATATCAACCAATCAAGGGTTGACGGGAACATAGAGGCCATTGCGGATATCCAGAAACAAGCTGGCATAGGTGATCCGACGGCGAAGGATGCACCACCAGACACAGTCGACATCTCCGAATATGTGACCATCATTCACGGCGATCTTGGGACTGGCGAATGTGTGCAGGCAATCCAGAAGCGTCGCAGTATCGAGGACACTGAGCTGCGACGCTACCAGTCGGTGGTTTTCGCGCCGGGTATCTTTCACACACGGATGGCCTGCGTGGACAATGTATACAGAGTATTCATACAACCTACCGAATCGCGTGTTGACGACAATTCCCTGATGAAGTTCGTGGGGAAGCTTCGACCGAAGGAAACTGGTCAAATAGGCTCAAAACCGAAGTTTCGCCAGATGCACGAAGTCGTTCTGCATGCGGGCATCGTTCTACGATTGGATTGCTGGAGAACCGAAGCCAGACGTCAATATAGTAGCAAAAACGTCAAGAATCTGGCCGATTTCGCTGCACAGAAGCCTACCTTTGCACAGCTTGTAGCTATGGCACATGGTATGGTCCGAAAATACGTTGCAGGAAAGGACAATTTGTTTGCTTCGCGCCGCCGCACTACGGCTACTCGAGACCAGCAGTATGAAAACATCACACTGATGCACCAGTACTTTTCGCTGTATGAGGAGTTCTCGTGGCGTGCTAATGCCGGTGACATTGGAGGGCTAGAGGCAGTCATGATCTCGTGGATTCCTCTGTGGAAAGCTACCGGAAAGCATAAGTATGCTGCACATATGGTCAAGTTCCTCACCGACGTACATTTTGTCTACCCCGAACGTCTCCGGTAGGTCATCCGTGCATCCGCTGATTGCTATTAGACTCACATCACATCTAGACATGCTATCCGATACAATCTCCTCGTCAATCCTACGGGCAAAGCCCATGCATTCCGTGGTGTTGATTGGGTTGTAGAGCTCATAAACCTCTTCACAAAGGTACGCAATTGATGAGTACAAGTCACAACAGTTGAACCTTACATCGAAGAGCTAGGATACATATGGCGGGGACGGCTCAAACTTCACAAAGGATCGAGTGATCACAGAGTCTCCAAACGTACTCGTGTACCGAAGTTGCGCCCGCAACGCAGAGCGCAATTTCTATCTATGCGGACTCTCGTCTGCTCATGGGAAGAAAGATATGACTGTTACATATAATGCACTACTTAAGGACATGGACGAGACGGCGCCACACGAGTATCGAGCTGGCAGAAAATCTGCCTATTGCATACCAAACATGTTGGACAGGGGAATCGAGATGATACTGGGTGGAATGGGTGACGAAGAAGATAGTAACATGGACCCGGCTGTAGGTGGCGTAGACAGTACTATCGATGCCGGGGACATTAGTGTCGACGTCGAATTGTAGGTAGGACCCAATATACATACCAATGGTCAAGTTGAACAACCGTCGCGGGCCGAGCAGTACTATGGCTGCCTACCATAGAAACGTGAAGGCGGGATGGGAGACGTAAGGGGATTGAGCGGTGCTGAGATGACAATGAGCTGCTATCGACCTCAGGAACACGTACACGCTTACGATTGGACATGGATCCTGTCTCCGGACCTCTGGGTGCGTGTGTCTGAGACCTTTCCTGCACGATCGTCTCCAACGTGGCGACCCGGGCATTCTGTCGATATGTTGGTGTTGTGAACAGGGTCTCGAGGGCGGTCACAGGACGCGTCCTTGGTGAGTCATCAGCTGGGCCATTGTCGGGCTCGGTCGGTACAGAGACAGGGCCGGCTCGAAGATTCTCCCGTGTCACCTTGCTGGGATGTAACGGACACACAGGGTTTTTCTCTGCACAAGACATATTGAGAGATAAACAGACGAGGTGCGAGTACGACTCACTGTTATGCCCCGATTGATGACACGCGCTACATTTATACTGCCGTACAGTCGGCCGTACTGCAGGCGTCTGAGTCGATGATGATGCCTGGGCTCTTGAAGGATTGGTAGGCGACGGTGACGCTACCGCAGTGTTGTTAACGCGTGCCCGCGAAGCCAGAGGTGTCGAGACGAATGGTGCCTCGCGAGGAAAGTGCCTAGCATAGCCAATCAAACACTATATGCACTACACTTCATGGGTACTCACTGATGAATGATCCCTACCACTGTCTCGCCGTATTCCCGACCCTTGCTCCACTTCTTGCCAACCTCGCGCTGGATGTCATCGGTAGATGCAATCTTGTTTGCTTCCGCGCACTCAGCCAGACGATCTACGACACTGTCGGGCATGATCACACAAGGCCCGAGAGCGTCGAGCAACGGGGCACCGTATTTCTCGATCATCTGCTGACGGCGGAACTCGTCCAATGCGGTCCTGAGGTCGCGCCCTGCCACCGACAGAACCATGTCCTTCTTGAGACGGGAGGCGCGTTGTGTCGAAGCCGCAGGAGGAGAGTCCCGGATGGTGACGAGGTCGAAACAGGACGAGTTTGGAGAGCATAGCCTACAGCAGACAGATGAAGCCCGCATCGCACAGCGAGTGCACCCAGCAGCGCGGCAGAGATGAGAGTCGGGCTCTATCAGACCATGAGTCGGTCATTATGCGGAACCAACGTACCGAAGCACACTTACCTATCTTGTCATTACCATAATATGCCATAATCGGTGCACGATAACACCTGTGCGGCCTCGTTGCGGCGTTCACAAGTGCGTCCAACTCAGCCGACAGCTCGCTGGCATCATGTTCTCTGTGTTTGCCTTTGCCCTTCGTCTTCGTATCCTTTTTCCCTGTGCGAGCCGCGTCCATCTCTGCCCACAACGCTGCAATATCGACAACGTGCGAAGGTGTGGCAGCCACATCGGCGTCTTCGCCGCTTGGTGGCTGGGATAATCCTTGCCTCGACTCGGCCTCGGGGCCATCCTCGTGAGCGCTAGGCCCACTGGTCTGCACCATCGGCCGTGACAAAGACGATGGAGGGTCCGCCCGGGATACATTGGAAGTGGGCATAGCCTGCAGAGGGCCGGCGGTTGTACGCGATCTTTTGGCGGGGCCTTCTTTGGTGAGTTCTTGTGCCGCCTTTCGCTTTTCAGCATTCACCCGTTTCTCCGCACGCTGCTTCACTTTCTCCTTCTCCTCATCAAAATACCTTGCCTCGACGAGTAGAATCGCTACAGCCCACAGCGCCGGATTCCGCGCTGCACGACCGAAACATTGCCACAACGTGTTCAGGTCACGCGGCAGGCGCCACTGAACAACGATCCGGACATCCGCAATATTCACACCCTGCGAGTGTACGTCCTTCATCTCTGTGCCTGTTGCTCCTAGAAGATCGTGCACTCACCATTCCGAAAGAATCTGTGCAACACAGACCATACAATGCCGGCCCCTTGAACGCCGTGAGGTTCGCCTCACGAAACTCGGCCGACATCTGCGCGTGAAACCACCGAATCTTCTCCTGTTCCCCTGGATGCAACCGCGCCCTGAGATGCTCCGCGGCTCTCACGCACTCATCAATGTCGTCAAAAAATATAAGGAATTTGGTAAGTGGATCCCCAGCAGCTTGCTCCGTTGTCGGTGGTACCAGGAAGTCGAGATCCTTGAAGCTTGACAGCGGATATTGAATGGGACGCACGTCGAGGTAAACATTCGGGCGATCGTTCGAGCGTTGTATGACTGTGCACTGATTGGCTCGAATTTGTAGTGTTGTCATGACCTCCCGTCGCATCTCGTCAGGGAAGGTGGCCGAGGCAAGATGGAAACACGTGTGCGGTAAGACATAACGTAGGCGGTGAGCGTGTTTGTAGTCTTGCCGGAAAGACTTCCATATACTGATGCAATGGGCCTCGTCCCAGATGATGCTGATGATCCGTGACGTGAAGCTGTCGATGTCCCACAGCCGTTCAAAGCCACCGCCGTCCTTCATTAACTCCTCCGGATTGACCACAATAGCCCGGTACTGACCCTCTCCAATATCCTGGTATCTCTGGTGAGTACCTTGTCTATCCTAAAACATGAGCAACACTTACCTGGAAGAGCTTCGGTGTTGCAGTCTCGGCGTGAACAGCAACAGCTTGCACGTTGACCTTCGCCAAATCCTCTTCATTCTGTGTGCCTAAAATATTCAGCGGGGTCACAACAATTTGTATGCCATCCTTTCGGAACAGCAGAGGCATCCAGAAGGTGAGTGTTTTCCCCGATCCTGTCGGTGCAACGTTGATGAGATCCTTGTCGCCTGCGAGAGATGCTTGACAGGCTAGGGATTGCCAACGACATGGATCACAACGGAATACTGCCAACGTTGTCTCCCGGATTTCATCAAGCGAAGGGATGGTCCTGTTGTTCGAGGACATGGCGAGCCGGGGCGGGGTGTGGAGAGTTCTGCGAGCTGGTTTTCGGGCCACACAGCGACGCGTCGCGACGCGTTGTACAAATGCACGTGCACAGTAATAAAATACAAGAAATGTTCATAAATCGACCGGCCAAGAAATGCATGACGGCCGATGACCATACTATACGGAGTAACCCATCACCGGTTGCCCGCTGTTTGTAGATGTTTTGTGCCAGCCGCCGCAGGGGGGTAGAGGGGAATAAGATTGTGGAGTTTGAATTGGGTCGCATGGTTCACGTGACATAGATCAACTAGTACGTTTTAGGATACAGGACTTGGGATCGAGAAAAAGCACTGTATTGGCATACTCGGATTGAGCCCCTCTACCCCCGCGGTGGATGGGGAGGAGCCTGGTTCTTTGCACGTCTACGCTGAAATACAAAGTTTTGTAAGCCTTTTTTCGCCTGCTATACTGGTAGCAAACTGGTAGTGCCATGTAGGTGTTGATCGACTGTCACTCGGAGATGTAGAGACTAGACAGACGGTCAGACGCTCAGTCGCGGTACAACATCGACTGAGATTGATCTACCTAGACAGACGGTCAGACGCTGCGTAGGTAGTCAGTACTAGATCGTCGTATAGTAATGTGAGAGACCTTACCTCAGTCGCGGTACAACATCGACTGAGGGAAAGGGAGGAGGAGAGACGAGAAGACGAACCGCCCCCGGCGGTATGTCACGTGCCCGGTGGCTGAGATCGAGATCGCGGCGCGACCTCAACACTCCTCCTCGGCGCGAATGGCGAGAGAGAGAGACGACGGGGGGAAAGAACGTGACGTACGTAGGAGAATGTATCGTACGGTAGGTATCGCATGGAATGTAGGTATCACGGGAGGAATGTAGAGAACGAGTGTGTTACGTATGAATAGTCCATTGAGTCATGAGAGGTATCGTAGTATCGTAAAACGGAGGGGTGGAAAACGGGTGACGCGTAAGTGCAGACGAGAAGAGAGACTCCTCCTGTTGAGGAACTCCTCCTCACCTAGAATACTCCTCCTCGCATGGAGGCCTGAGGCCCATAAGCCCACGCAGGAGTTGGAAGGGTTTGCGTTCAAGCGCTTTCGTGAAGGCGTCGGCCACATTGAGATGAGACGGAACGTGCTGGATGGCGATGCGCTTGTCAGAGACAACTTCCCGTAAGTAGTGCCACTTGATATCGATATGTTTGACGCGAGAGTGAAAGGTGGAGTCGGCTGAGAGGGTGATCGCGCTCGTGCTGTCAACACGCATGAGGGACGCAGTCGGCTGAGGGAAACCGAGGCCGTCGAGCAGGAAACGGAGCCAGACGCCTTCCTTGGATGATTCGGCGGCGGCGACATATTCAGCCTCGGTGGTGGAAGTGGACACCGTGGGTTGCTTGCGCGCGGACCAGGAGATGATTCCGGAGCCAAGATTCCAGCAGTAACCGCCGGTGGAGCGGCGAGTGTCGACGCAGCTGGCATGACTGGCGTCCGCGTAGCCGTTGAGGTTAGCGACGTCTGCGCCGCCAAGATGCAGTCGGAAATGCCTCGTCCCTTTGAGGTAGCGCACGATGCGCTTCGCCGCCTCCCAGTGAACCTCGGAGTAACAGTCCAAGAACTGACTGAGATGTTGGATGGCGAGCGCGATGTCAGGGCGAGTTCCAATGGCCAGGTACATCAGGCAACCGATGAGAGAACGATACGGTAGCCGAGCAGCGCGCTCCTTGGCAGCGGGAGTCTTGGGAGCATGCTGGGCGCGGGATAGACGAAGGCCGGCTTCCATGGGCGTAGAGACCGGGGCACAGTCGGGGCCGTCCATGCGGAACTGCTTGACGATCTTGTCGATCAGAGCAGTCTGCGAGACGGCGACGGAACGACGGGCACGATCACGGTCAATCTGAATGCCCACACAGAAGCGAGCCTCACCCAGGTCCGCAATCTTCCAGACACGGCGCAAATCGTCCTTGAACTCCTCCTTAGCGGCAGCTGAGCTAGCCGTTAGGAGAAAATCGTCGACGTGGACGCCTGTGAGAACAGTTCCCCGCTCAGTCTTGCGATAGTACACGCAGTACTCGCAAGGCAGGCGGGTAAAACCGACGCTCAGCAAGTGCGCGTTCATCGTGTCGTTCCACGTCCGGCTCCCCTGCTTAGTACCATAGATACCACGCACCAGCTCCCAGACCCAGCCCTCCTTGCCAGGCTCCTCGAAACCCGGAGGCTGCTCCATGTAGCAGTACTCATCCTCCGGAAGGACGCCGTAGAGGAAGGCGGTCTTGACATCGAGCTGCTCGACTTCCCAGTCGAGCGAAGCGGCAAGATGCAGGAGCGCGCGGAAGGACTCCATGCGCATGGTAGGTGAGGAGGTCCGGTTGTAGTCCTGCCCGTAGACCTGCTGAAAACCTTTAGCCACCCAACGTGCCTTGAAACGCACCGGTTCCCCGTTCTCATTTCGTTTTAGACGATACACGGGTTTGCCCTTCATCACGCGACGGCCAGTCGGGACCTGGGACCGAGGGATTAGGCGGTACACGCCCAGGTCCTTGATGGACTGGAGCTCGTCGCGGAGGGCTTCACGCCACTCGTCCCGAAACGGGGACGCCTCAGCCTCTGCCAGCGTCGCGGGGTCACCGGGGTACTCCACGTTGAGAGGCAGAACATCGTCCTTGGCCAACGCCGCCAGCGCGGACTCGATGTCCGGCGGAACGTCGACGGACGGTTCATCAACACGGAGACCAGAAGGGACGACAGGTGGCGGCGGACCAGCGATGAGAGGAGGAGCAGGAGCGGGGATGCCAGATGGCGACGCCGGACGCGAAACGCCAGCGCGCATTCGCTCCAGCGTGCGATCCAGACGCGAGACGAAGGGAACGCCCGACGCGTCGGCCAGCTTCTGGGAGGGGACCGGCAGACGAGAGGACCGACGTATAGGCGGTGTCACAGGGCGAGCAGCAGGAGGCGGTGAGGGCAGAGCGTGAGGCAGGACGGGTGCAACCGGGATGGAAGGCACAGAGGGCGGAGCTGCGACCTTGACAGGAGACGGGGGCGGCGGCAACGGGGCCATGGCGTCGTCGTCTGAATCGACAGCCACGGAGGGCTCAGCGGCAGGAGGGACGGGCGGCGGTGCCGCCGCAGGTGACGGAGGTGTCGAAGTCGACGTCTCATGCGACTCGATGAAGGCCACATGGAACGATTCGACAACCTTGTGCGTCCCGCGATGATACAACCGATATGTCTTCGAGTGCTGCCCATACCCAATGAGCACGCACTCAACCGAACGCTCGTATATCTTGGGGTTGTGCCTATTCTGAATCAGCACGAACGCCCTACAGCCGATCTCGCGCAGGTGCGACAGGTCCGGCTTCTTCCCATGCCACATCTCGTAGGGTGTGACGCCTGGCGGCAGCGAACGGGAAGGAGTACGCACAGACAGGTAGTTAGCCGTGACGAGGAACTCGTCCCAACGATTCGGCGGAGCGTTCGCGGCCAGGCGCATCGCGCGTGCGCGGTCCATCAGCGTCCGATGAAAGCGTTCGATGCGACCATTCTGCGCGGACGTGTGCGGAGCCGTAGTGCGCCACTGAGAGCCGCGACCCTCGATCCAAGACTTGAAGTCATTGGACAGGAGTTCGCCATTGTCGACCTGCACTATGCCGAGACGCTCGCCCGTCTCGACCTCACGAGCAAGGACCCACGCCTTGAAGCGGTCAAGGACGACCTTGGATGGCACAGGAACAGCCCATGTGTGGGACGTGAAATCATCGAGAATGTTCATAGAATACAAGTTCCCTGAGGCGGAACGAACGTCCTGCTGCCCCTGCACGTCCACAAACACCGTACCCAGAATCCGTTTCGCCTTATCCCCCACCCGCACCTTTGGAACCGCGCTTCTCGTCTGTTTACCGAGGATGCAGTGTTCACACTTGGCAGGGGGGGATAGAATAATGGGCATACCTGAAACGGACCCGAGCCGGGCCATGTCGTGGATGGTGCGATGGTTGACGTGACCGAGACGGCGGTGCCAGACGTCGAGCGTCGGTACGCGGCCCGAATAGAGGGCATGCTCGGTGGAAGGAGGGGTGCCGTCGAGAGAGTAAAGTCGCTTGGAGGTCAAGGTGCCGCTAGCGAGAACAGCCCCACCCGGCTTCAGGATGCGAACCCCAGTGTCCGTGAAGAGCACGGAGTAACGAGAGGACGAGGCGCAGAGGGCCGAGATACTCACGAGGCGAACGGTAGCCTGGGGTACGTACAAGACGTTCTCGAGAATGATCGAGGCGCCGCGACCGATATGCAGGCGCACCTTGCCGACACCGCAGGCGTAGATGACCGAGCCGCTGACCCCCCGAATGCCGCGAGGCGAGATGGGGCGAAGATCATGGAAGTCGGCCTTGCGAGGAGAGAGATGCGTGGACGCGCCAGAGTCAAACACGAAGGGTTCAGTACCTTCTGTAGAGAGACGACGAGTCGCGGCGGGCACAGGCGCCACCGAGAACGCAGCAGGGTCGGCAGGAGCACGGCAGTGGTCGGACCAGTTGAGCGAGACTGACTCTTCGTCCTCGACGGACACCAAGGCGTCGTACTCAAAGAGATCCGCCGGGACCGCCACCGTAGCGAGCCACTCGGGGGACGCGTCAGTCGCAAGACCAGCGAAGTCGGTCTCAGAGGTAGCGTCGGTCGAAGAGGTGGACTCGGCAGATGACGGCGGAACAGTACTCAGCAAGTACGCATGGCCGGTCTTACCGTCAACGATGTACGCACGGCCCTGCTTGTCGCGGTCAGTGCCAGAGGAAGAAGCCGCCGGCTTAGCGGGACGCTTCCCAGTCCTTTTGTTAGCGAGCACCTCCTCGCGACGACCTTCCATGCCGCCCCCGGGGGCCCAGCACTCCGGAGCTGTGGCGCCCCCTTACTCACGCCGTGATACGCTGCACCCAGTCTCTATTCCAGAGTGGTGCGGTATCGGTGACGAGTGTAAGAGAGCTGGCTCCCACACTCGCTGGCGCCGCCCT